TTCATCCGGCTAATCTTGTCTGCTGTTATGTCATCAATAAACACAAGTGACCCAGTGCCATTGAAAGCCATGCATGCCCATGCCATCACGTTGCCTCCACCATGTTTTACAGAGGATGTGGTGTGCCTTGGATCATGTGCCGTTCCCTTTCTTCTCCAAACTTTTTTCTTCCCATCATTCTGGTACAGGTTGATCTTTGTCTCATCTGTCCATAGAATACTTTTCCAGAACTGGGCTGGCTTCTTGAGGTGTTTTTGGGCAAATTTAACTCTGGCCTGTCTACTTTTGGAATTGATGAATGGTTTGCATCTACATGTGAACCCTTTGTATTTGCTTTCATGGAGTCTTCTCTTTACTGTTGACTTAGAGACAGATACACCTACTTCCCTGAGAGTGTTCTGGACCTCAGTTGATGTTGTGAACGGGTCCTTCTTCACCAAAGGAAGTATGCGGCGATCATCCACCACCGTTGTCTTCCGTGGACGCCCAGGCCTTTTTGAGTTCCCAAGCTCACCAGTCAATTCCTTTTTCCTCAGAATGTACCAGACTGTTGATTTTGCTACTCCAAGCATGTCTGCTATCTCTGTGATGGATTTTTCTTTTTTTTCAGCCTCAGGATGTTCTGCTTCACCTCAATTGAGAGCTCCTTTGACCGCATGTTGTCTGGTCACAGCAACAGCTTCCAAATGCAAAACCACACACCTGGAAACAACCCCAGACCTTTTAACTACTTACTTGATTACAGGTTAACGAGGGAAAGGCCTTTTGAGTTACTTGCAGCCTTTGGAGTCCATTGTCCAATTACTTTTGGTCCCTTGAAAAAGAGGAGGCTCTGCATTACAGAGCTATGATTCCTAAATCCTTTCTCCGATTTGGATGTGGAAACTCTCATATTGCAGCTGGGAGTGTTCACTTTCAGCCCATATTATATATAAGTTGTATTTCTGAACATATTTTGGTCAACAGCTAAAATAACAAAACCTATGTCACTGTCCAAATATTTCTGGCCCTAACTGTATATATATACATATATATATACATATATATATATATATATATATATATATATATATATATATATATATATATATATATATATATATATATATATATATATACATATATATATATATATATACACACACACATATATATGTGTGTGTGTGTATTTATGAAAGCATGCGTGTATTTGTGGATGTGTGCGTTTGAAACTTGAAACTTTGAAACTTTTGGGCTGAAGGACCTTGGATAGAGTAGCGATATTAAACTTTAATATTTCATGGGCAATATTTAATGTGAAAAGGTTTTATTGGATTGAGCAAAGAGAAACTTAGAGCCTGAACAGCTGATGTGGCGTGCCATTGTTTCATTTGCTTCTGAATTTTCCAGGAACAGCATCACTGCTAAGGCTGCAGATGATCCTGTAATCATAGAGCTATGCAGGCGCAGAAGCAGTTCTGACGTTAGCAGGAATTTTAAAGAGAAAACGTTGCTCAAAAGTTCAGGTAAAGAGTCGAGCAGGTAAACATAGCTGCTGTTGGATGAAAACAAAGCACCTGGAATGGAGTTTGTATGCTCTCTTTCACATACTCAAGCTTCCTTCCACCGTCCAAATTTATGGATGTAGGTTTATTTGTTATTGTCTCTGTTTCCTCCTGTGATGGCGACCTGAACAGAGTGCCTTGCCCAATAGCGGCTGGAATCAGGCGTCCAGCTGGTTTTAGATTGTCAAAGGTCCAGCTCATGTCCACGCTGTGCCCAGATACAGGCCGTCCCTCACTCACATCTAAGAATTCAGATAGTGACAAGCTTGTAGCAGCTGCAGCTGATCCCTGGTTGATATATCAAGGAGGCTGTGGAGCTTTTGTTGGTGCAAGAAGGTCTACTTTCAGGAATAAAGATCAGGAACCATTCTGACTGAGTCAATCTTTGGTAAAGATTTAATTTTTAGCTCTCCCTTACTGAGCCTTAGATATGCCCCAAACTATTCTGTTCTTTTTTTTTCTTTTTGCCAATTTCTGATTGAAGATTGAGAAAATCAGGTTTAATCTATTTGTTGTTTTCTCATTTGTTTTGTACTCTCGAGTGTTTTCTTTCCTCTTTGAAAAATGAAAAATATGAAATTAAGCTGAGTTTTTCTGAAGACATGTTGATGATGTGTCATGTTCTTGCAGGCAGCTATAGGGTCACTGCTTTGACCTGTATTTTGGAGAAACCAGTGGTGGCTGAGCTGGGTCAACAGCAAAAACAAAGATAAAAACATCTTGTTCCTTAGTCACTGTGTGTCTGGCACGGATTTAACCACAGGAAAGTAACTTTGCTCCTCCCAGTGCTGTCTGAAGTTTCCACTGTCTGTTGTGAGCTGATGTGCCAGATGGTTTGTTTCATTGAAACACCTGGAATGTTCTCTGTGGAGATCATGTGGGAAAATGGCTGGCATTTTCAATAAATCCTTCCAGGTGATCGAAAGGAGCATCTGTCCATCAAAGTCTCAAGTGAACTTCAATTAAACACACGAACTGGATGGAACCACAGGAAAGTCGTCAGGGAACACGTGCTGCCATTGTTGATTGTCATCATTTCTGGAGCTGTCTGTCTGGGTTAATGGAACAAACCTTTTGTTTAGACCAGACATGACATGGCTTGAAGACAGGAGAATTTATTTCGGGGTGCACCATGTATCTATTAGTTTGATTTGAATTATGTGCATTCAAATGGAACATAGATCTGTCATAGCTCGAAGCTTGTAAACGTGGCACACCGGCAGGAGGAGCCGTGAACTCCAGTATCTACTTGTGCAGAAACACCAAAACAATCATTTTCATCAATGTAAAGTTAGTTTTAATGGCTTGTTGTCTTAAAGCACAGTAAACCACAGAGAAGCTTCAGTTCCATGATAACTGTAACTCTTTCAAAGTATTAGTAAGCCATTCATTGTGCCTGTTCTGTTGACTGCTTAGCTCTTCCACAGTCCTTATGCATATTCAGTGTTTGTGAAAACACTGACAGTAATTGATATTTTCAGACAAAAAGCTTAAAATTGTCAGATATGTTGACTGACATTCCTTTCCTCCAATCTTGCAAAAATATTGCAATTAAAACAAAAGACTCACAGTGTGACAAATGTGTTGCATTTCTGAAAAAAAAAAAAAAAAAACTGTGACAAGTTATTGTGCGGATGTCACAAGTGTTTAACTGCTGGTCACAACACTGTCATGACAGATGAATCATTTAGGATTTGAATTTATTTCCCTGGTACCAGCTTACCTGCAGGTCCCTGTATTCCTATGGTCTGTATGACTTCACATCATTGCGGACTTTGTGCTCAGCGGATTGTGGCACAGCACTGTGAGCGCAGCAGTGAGGTGACCTAGCCTAATCTGAAGTGGTTTACTATAATGCCCACGATTAAATAGATAACTATTTAACTGAGTTATCTATTAAATAGATAAGAAAAAAACAGTTTATGTGCTTCGAAAACACTTAAAATGTGCAACACTGGTGAAATAGATTAGCCAAGTTTTAATATAAGAAAAGTCATCTTGTCACTTAAACGGAGGAACAATGCTTATCCAATTAGCAGTGTAACATCTAAACATGACTCTGGTGTCTGTGAGCGCATGTGGTTCAGCTATCAGCATCGTTTCTCAATCATTACTTTCTGTTTCACATGAGACTTTATGAGGGAAATAAATTGCCTTAAAGGTAATTCTTATTAAAAGGATTACATCCATATAATCCCCTTTGTCCCAGTGGACATCCCAAAACACACACACACACACACCAACACATTATACATAACCAGATTAACACATGGAAATAAATGTGTACAACCTTTTTGATATGCTACAAATGACAGAACACACCTCCAATAAAACCTCAGAGGGTATTATTGGAAACCATGTTTTCCCGTGTGTGTGCAGGTTCATGGATATTACACCTCATAACTGTGACCAGACCAGGCACCTTCTTGTGTGTGTGTGTTGCAGGTTTGCTATGTTGAATACACACCTGTGTGTAGAAGCTGATTATGGAATGAGACTTCATTTTGTTTATGCTCGCTCCCCTCATCCCCAATTAACAAAGACAAATCCGCTTCTATCATGACTAATGAGAGAGTTTAGCGTGAAGGAACTCTGAATTTTCATAGTGAAACGAAGACTATTTATTCAATTTTCATGAAAATGACAAAATGCAGCCGATTGTCCATGACTGTAAAGGGGCAGATTAGATGAGGATGAAAGGAAGGGATGAAAAAATGGGATGAGGGAGAGGAGAGGAGATAACACCAGTTTTCACATCTCTGTTAACAACTGTAAAGCTAAAACTGGACTCACTTTTCTTTTTTTTTAATATATAAATATTTATTTATTTATTTACTTCCATATATTGTGCAGTAATGAACATTTCAAATAGTGCCCTTGACCAACCTGAAATTCATAAAGTTCAAAAAGAAACAATTTCAATTAAAATGCATCATTTAATATAGAAGGTTGACAACATTTCTTCTCCTAAAAGACTACATAGCTACGTTTACACATGCAGCCTTCGAACAGCAAATGTTTAACATTTGCTCTCAGAGCATCAGGAGACAGTCAGAAAATGACTAACAATTAAGTGAAAATCTGAATATTTACCTTTTAAAACATGTCAAATTCATGTCTAATTTACAGTGTTTTGGAGAAGCATACCCAGCCACCACAAAGTCTTTTTTTAACTGCTGATTGCCCAAATAGTCCTACACAAATAGAAACTATTTGATTTTTGACATTTCCAGATTTTAATCAACAAAAGGATGTACAAAACCTTCTTGCCTTCATTACAAAAACCTCCCCTTTATTTTAGGAGATACAATCCATCAGAATAAAAAGAAATTAATGTTGAGTGAAAAATGACATAGGCTACAGATGAACTGAGACAGATGCAGAGAAAAAGAAAAAAGGTGTAATGCAACATTCGATGGACAAATGCCAACATCTTGATTATTTGTTCCTTTGCAGGTGGAGCTGACAGGAAGCAGTGTGTTTGACTACGTCCACCCTGGTGACCACGTGGAGATGGCAGAGCAGCTTGGCATGAAGCTTCCTCCGGGGAGAGGCATGTCTCTGTCCCAGGGAGCGGTCAGTGAAGACGGAGCGTCCTCAGCGTCATCATCATCACACTCTGAGACGCCTGAGCCAGGTAGGAGACCTGAGACCAGGGTGTAAGGACATCAAGCTCAGAAGCAATTTCACTCAAGTGACTGACATTTGTAGTGTCACACATTTTACTTCCTTCTGACAAACCCATGGAGAACTGTGGTTTACTTCAAATAACCTCACAAAATATTTTAATAAAAATAAAATGATGATCTATATTGATAATAATCTAGTCACCTATGTTGACATTGTTGTGCTCCCTTTGCCAAAAGATCCAAAGGGGTGAATCAGATCAACAGTTAATTCATGTATGAACAGAGTGGAAGTCTTGTATTTTTGGGGGGATTGTTTTTTTCCTCAGATATTGTCAGTAATCATGATTTCCTACTTCTATAAAGTAAAAGCCAGCCAGGTGCTCAGCTGCTCGGTAACAGAGCAGGTGCACCATTAATGGAAGCTACTTTTCTTGATGCAGTCGTCCCAGTTTCAAATTTTGGCCATTTACTGCATCTCCTCTTTTCTCTGCCCTCCTTCGTATTGAACTTCTACTGAAAACCAATTAGTGCCAGAAAACGTTTAGCAAAAGTCAGTCATTAAGGCCCACAGGAAAAACCGGCCTGTTTTAAGGGATTGTAGATGTAGAAGATTCAAGAACAAGCTTTTCACCTTATTTGATTTCTCACTTTTTACTCTTATGATGTAACAAATGTAAAGGAAACAATAAGAAATGTTATTTGTACAAGAAGATTTAAGAATTGTGCTATGTATCTATTACTGCTGAGCAACACAGCTATCCTAAATGTTGTCATGCAGCATAACCCTCCATTATATTCAGTCCATTCATTCTATTTAGAAATGTTCTTACTAAATGTTCAGGGTCTGATTCACAATGGCTTATGGAAGATATCTGATGACAAAGATTAATCTAATTATATTAATGTATTTTTTGTTCTGTAAACTGTGATCCACTGTATTTTGGTTGCGGATAATACACCAGACAAAAAAGTAATCTGGAAAGTAACATCAGTGTAAGAAAGCAGATGGATGTGAAAGTCAGCATTCACTGAGCAAAAACGGTAAATGAAGTTGAAAATAATTGGTGCACAGATATTTATTTATTAATTTTGTTCGATAAAAGGACTTAACTCTGAGTTATTTCAGCTATCCACACTGTTTTTACTCACTGGTTTTCTGTTAGCACTGAGTCCTGTTGATGGTTGTGAGATGGGATAGAGTCATTGGTTGGAGGTGAGGCACATCAAGCAGTTTCCAGTCCTTTGTAGGGCAATGCAGAGAAAACCCAATAGAGTTTAGATTTGACCTAGAAAATCCAACCCAATCTGACCCGGTCCATAGACATTGTTTTTGATCTGATCTGACCTGACTGGTAAACTTTATTTAGAGTATTGAGTCTGAAGTAAAGTTGACATTCTTTTATAATGGTACCATTTTAAAATCCTTGCAGACCTTGGACTTTGCTCGTCTGGCTTAGTAGTGTATCTTCCCATGTTTTTAGTGTTTTTTAACACCTTCCAGCTCCTTTTTGTTCCTCGTTGTAACCGCAGGGTGAGTCAAACTGCAGATGTTATGGGATGTGTGATTGATAGAGAAGGATGGTTCAGGTTACAGTTTATCTAACGCTTGCACCTTGTTTTCTTTCTTTCTTTCGTCAGCATAAAGCTACCTGCTCCTCTATTTAGATTAGAATAAGTGGACTAACATTGTGTGTTCTCCTTTAGTTTTGTCCAGAAAGGTCGTAACCACTTTGCCATCCCACCTCCACACCTGCTTCACTCTCCAAACAACTTCAGCGGTGCCGCAGTGGTGGATTTACTTTCTTATTTCTACACCATCTGTCCTTATTCTAACTTTGCAAAAGTTCTCCAATGCTTGTTTTCTAATATCTCCTTATTCACTGCTGTATTTTGTCATGCAACACTTTTATTGTTCTGGAGTGGAAGGGCTCACAATTCTCCATGGGATTCTTTGTCCTGTCTCTTCCATTCCTTCATTTATCTATCCCCTCATCTTCCACTGCACCACATGTTCAAGACTTTTTACCTTCCAAATGCTTTCCATTGTGCCCTCACTCTGTCTCTCATGCTGATGATAATTTAAGCATTAGGGGGAAATCCATTTATAAATTAAACAAAATGACTTGATATCCATCAAGTCCCTTAGTTCATCAGCCTGTTCAAACAAGGAGTTGAAGATTGGCTTTGCGGCGACCAGGGTCTTCGGAGACGGCACAGTAATTAGATCTGCCGCGGATTTATTCTGGGCTGATTGGGGCTGGTGATGGGTGTGTGTGTGTGTGTGTGTGTGTGTGTGTGTGTGTGTGTGTGTGTGTGTGTGTGTGTGTGTGTGTGTGTGTGTGTGTGTGTGTGTGTGTGTGTGTGGTGTGTGTGTGGTGTGGTGTGTGTGTGTGTGTGGGTGTGTGTGTGTGTGTGTGTGTGTGTGTGTGGGTGTATCTGTGTGTGTGAAAGATTTTTAAATTAATTGGAGTCTATTGGAGGTCCACATTTTAGGGTTTTTTTTGTTCTTTTTTTTTCCTTTGACTTTGTGCAAACCTCTAACAAAGCCTTTCCATACACTAAACTAAAGATAGATAGTGAGGCAAAGAGTACATCTATGTGGTCATCTATGTCAATTTGTCTGAGAGAAAATGAAAGCAATGACACTTTTTTCACTTTGGATTTGCCCTCAAGGTGCAAAAACATTAAAAACTAAAGAAGCAAAAGAAGAAAAAGGATGTAGTGTGGATATCTCAGTGATTACTAACATTGACTTGACCAAAGGAAGGAGAAAGACAGAAGTTGCCAAGAGAAACATGTTTGCTCTCCATTGTTAATTTGCCGAGAGAGACAGTAAGGAGGAGAGGCCGGGGATGGAGCGACATGTTCCAATGAGCATGAGTGTTTAGCAATGTTAATTTGTCTGCATGAAAAAGCAGAGAAGGGAGGAAGAGGTCTCAGGCAGACATGCAGGAATCTGAAAGAGTGATCCCTAATGACACTCTGACCAGTCAGAGGAAGAAAGGCAATTAGGATTCATGTATGTGGTATTTAATGCAAATCTGCATTGAGAGCAAGGAGCCAGATGAGTGAATAAATCTATGCTGCTTGTAGCTAGCAGTAGATTTGTTGCAAACTGACGACTCAACCATACATTCAACCTGAAAAGATAACTTCAAATATTGGAAGTTGTGTCAAAACAAGGAAAGGGTGCGCTGGTTTTCCTTTAGTTGATTCATTTTATACCTTTCCAAAACATAAAGGCAAAAGTTTTGTTATTTAGATATTTCGAGAGGACATACAAGGAAGTTGTGGCTGTTGGTCACTTACAAGGTAATCTGTCACATTTGCAATTTAGCAAAGTCTGATACAGGGACCATCGTTTTTACCTATCCATTCATAACTGCAGGGTCATTGGACTGGGCCGATTCCAATCAGTGGCGTTCAGACCTGGACAGGTCAATTAAAAGCCTACATGGACAAGTTCACTGAACGATAACATGACATTGTCTAGTTATTTGTCATTTCCTCTACTGCTTTTGAAGACCCTGCACCCATTTATTGATGAAATTTAGTCTAGCTGATGGGTCTCCTCATGACTACATCATCCACGTACATGATATTATTAAGAGTTTCTGTTGCTATAGATGAATATTAAGGTTTGTTGTTCCCTCTGTGTTGGAAACAAAATGTTTTGTTACACCCTTGAAAATAGAGAAGACAGAAAAACGAGAGTGAGTTTTTTTATGCAGCAATTTAACACAATGAGGACAGATCACAAAAACTCCCTAGTGGAGGACAGAGCCACTACCAATCAATCCCAGAATAGGTTCACTAGCTGATTGCTGATTAACTGTCAATTGTAAATCTATTTTTTTTCATCTAAACTCTTGCGGTATGAAAATAACTTATCGTCACCTTCCTAAACTAATGGTCTAAGTAATATATATATAAATGAATTGAATTCAATCGAAAAGTCTGGAGGGTGTGTCTCAGTACTTTTTTGTAATACTGTGTATCATTTCACTATATCTCTGTCTGCTACACTAAGTTCTCAGACATTCCAAGCCTTTAGATCTGCAACCAAATATTAAACAGTTTCAACTTCAAATCTGAGCCACTTTTCTGGAGCACTTTATTTGTTCTAGTCGTCCATGTCCTGATGTAATTACATCAGACCTGAATTCAGCTTTACACTCTTTGATCTTCAAATCCCTTTAATATAACAAAACTTGACTTTTTTATTACTTAGTCTATAAATTATGAACTATTTCTATTGTAAGGCCCCTGGCATCAGTCTAATTTGACTTATTTGGCAGGTTGTACCAAATTACTACTTTGCGTCTGCTAACCCTCTGCATATCTTGCTCTACTGTGTTTTTATGAATTGGTCAGTAAAAGACTTTTCATATTTTTTGCATAAGTTTCAAAAAAGCAATTTCCTACAAATTATAGACTTACATTTTACCTCATTTTTAGTTAGCATAAAATCTGTTTGTTCCCATTAAGAGTCCTCGCTTTTCTCTTACATTCATGTATTTTTGCATAAAAAAATTCTTGCCATATTAAGAAATTAAATTATTCTTATAATTTAAGAATAATACTCTTAAATTATTCTCTAGGAATAATTTATTTCTTGTAGATGGAAAGAAATTCATATCAGAAATCAGTTGATGTCTAAACTAGCCAAATGTGGATTATTGTTAGGTAAGAGTCACCTGTCAGTTTAAACCTCAGGTTATCAGCCAGGCTTGTCTCTCAGGCTGCTCTGTTGAAATATATTAGAAAGCTGGCCCCATCATTTTAATTATAGTCACACTCATAAAGTGCAAAAATTGAAGTTAAAACATGAGATGACCTTGGAGGAAAGAACCTCCTTTGAAGCTTGACGCCTCTTGCCAACACACTCTTGCAGTTAAAGAGACTCATCTTTAAAAGCACATGACGCAATTTGACTAATATCCGTCAAACTGAGGCTGAGAGCACCAGTGTCTCCAACTGAGAATGAGTGGTTGAAAATGATTACTCA